CTTGGCATAAAATTGTGGACTATTTGAGTCCGAAGTGGCCTTGGAGATCATATATTCTAGCTTCCTCACTGTACACATGAGGAAATCCCTCTCACACTAAGGAGAATGAGCTCTCATGAAGTGACTGCTGATTTGGTTAAAGAATCTAACACCTGCTCCTGCCCCATCCGGAACTGAATGATTCTCCTGTGCTATGCTGTCACTTTCCAGGAAAGGGAAAGAAAAGATAACATGCAGCCTTTTGAAAGAGAGAGAAGACCGTACGCATTTTTTTTTTTTTTTTGAGTATCAAACATTTCCTTAATATTCAAAAGAAAGGCAAGACTGGAATCTGGAACCATATAGCTGTTAAAAGTCAGTAATGAGCTACATGATGAACATACGGTTCATTACTGAGGTAGAACATGAAAAGTTTATAGCACAAATTCTTCCCTTTTCTGGTATCCAGGGCCTCTGAGCATTCTTCATTTTCATAAGTATCAGATTCATTTATTCAATTTGAGAAATAAATAACTGTATTTTAAGAGGACGGTTTTCATTCTCTTTGTTATCATTTACATACCTATAGTTTTCCACTTATGTTTTTAATTAGCACTAGAGGACAAAGCAAGCATTTGTGTCTTCCCATTTTTGTCTCATGGTGTCTCATGGGTCAGGAGCTAATTGTGTGAAAGTAACTAGGTATGCAAAGATGAAAAACACAATGCCCATACCTTAAAGAAGGGGGAGGGAAGAAAGAGCTGAGTATGTTCTAAGAGTGAGCAATCCTGGAGGGCTAAAACATAGGACTCATGGAGAGAATTAAGAAGACATGGAGGGAGGGGCACCTGGGTGGCTCAGTCATTAAGCGGCTGCCTTCGGCTCAGGTCATGATCCCAGGGTCCTGGGATCGAGCCCCGCATCGGGCTCCCTGCTCAGCAGGAAGCCTGCTTCTCCCTCTCCCACTCCCCCTGCTTGTGTCCCTGCTCTCGCTATCTCTCTCTGTCAAATAAATACATAAAATCTTAAAAAAAAAATAAAAAGAAGACATGGAGGGTATACTGTCATAAGAGCTGATGTTGGGAAAGATTTGTGGCTCTGCAGCCTGGTGTGCCATTCAGAGGAGTTTGGACCTTATCCAGCGAGTCACCAAAAGTCTGTAGCAAGGGAGTGGCTTAGATAACACTGGCATTATGGAGAAGGTATAGTTTAGAGACTAGATGCACTTGCACCCCTTATCAACAGGAGCTGATGATAAGAAGAAAGATGGTGTCCACCAGTCTTTCCAAGAAGACAAGGGCCTAAAAAAAATTACTGAAAGGCCTTGGGATGAATCTCCTGAAGAATTCTTTAAGGAAGATACCTGCTAACATTTGAATTTGACCTTGTGAAAAAACTAACATTTAAGAGAACTATTTACAACTACAAAGTTCCTCATGATATCAGAGTTCCCTATGCCTGTATCTTCCCTCATCCCAACTGTAGCTGGCTTCATACTGTATAAACTATTTGCAAGCAGCAAACCAAAGATTGAAACATATACATAATTTAATAAAAACTGGAAATGAAGTGTACCCTAACATGAAGATGAATCTAAGATTTCAGTGAGTATAAAGCAAACCGTGCAAAATGATCAATACATGCAGCACAAAGATATCATTGTACCAACAAGAAATACAACAAAGAAGAATTATTTGGTACCACTTCAAAAACTCTTTTAACGAATAGGATGCTAATGCTTTGACCAGTAATTGCTATGTTCCTTTAGCATTTTGACCTAATTTGGTTTCTTATATTGTATCTAGTTGTTCCTATACAAAGTTAACTTTATGGTTGTCCCCAGATGCTTTTGTAAATAGGATGAAAATCTCAAAGGTTTTAATTATCTCAGGTAAATGGGAGTTACTAGTATTCCTAACCCTAGTACTTGAATTCTAATTATCTTCCCAAGTTGGGCTCTGGATTTTTTTCATTTGTTCATTCAATCTCTCTTAAATTTGTTGTTTTAGGTAATCCTCTGGAAATTGTACCTTTATGAGGCTACATGCTGGGATTTAATATCTATGCAAAAAAGATGAAATGATTTAGGAAACAGTTGGACAATTAAGCTGATTTAGGTAAACTATTTAAAACCTAATGGACATCATTAAAAATAAACTAAGAAAATCAAATATCTCATCATTTCTTTTCTCAAATGCACAGAATGGTCATTTTGCTATATGCCCAACAGCTTTTAAACGATAATATGAAGTCTCTTATTGTAAGTTCTAGGATTACTGAAAAATAAAACCACAGATTTCTCATTAGTATTCCTTTCCTCAAATTCACAGAATGTTCACGTTATTATATGCCCAATACCTTTTAAATGATTATAGGCAGTATCTTACTACTAATTTTTAAGATTACTTAAATCACATCTGCCATTAAAATTTACAGGAAAACTCAGGATGGCTCTTACACCAGGCCATTCCGGCGAAGTAGATCAGATACTGAAAAAACTGAAATCTGCTGGTATATTTTCTTACAAATACATGATAACTAGAGTGAATAAAATGACAATGAATGTTGTTCTTTGACTAGAGATGTTCAGTGAATTATCTGCAAAATATCCAAATTTCCCAATTAAGTCACAGAGTAGCAAGCATATGAAAGAAACAATTACTGTAATGTTCTATGCTGGCACGGAAAAGCAAATCTTTTTGCACATTTAAAAAAATATAATCTACTTGGGAACAAAGCCAAATGTCAAAAGGGAAATCCAAATGCCTGCAAGCAGAAGCCCAGTGGGGGCTGGGCCGTCTCCTTTGAGGCCAAACAACCCTAAAACACACCAAGGAAATGCCCCTGCTGTTCCTTCTTTTTCATCAGGGATAGAGCCTGCCTTTCACTATCTCCATGAATTCATACTAGGGATAACTTAAATGGTTCAGATGCCAGTGGACTGGGAACCCCATGTCATTCCTGGTCTAAGCTTTGATGGAGGCTGACCGAATTGCAGCGTTTTCCCTCCTTCAGGCCTGCGATAGTACAGCTCAGTCTGGTCCAGGATCTCAGTCTCAGAATTTGTTCGATCTAATTTCATGACACGTCTAGGTCCCCTGACAACAGTAGCAAAACTTGTAAGCCTATCTTAAGTGGTATAGGTTAAACTAAATCTCCTAATGTCTCTTCTTACCATGCTGTGGTCTGCTGTCACCAAGTTAGAATAATTCTACCTCTCAGTACTCACTCAGGTTCAAAGGGATTCTCTCCTGATAGTAAAAGCCTGAATCAAGCTGTGACTGTCCAGCATCCTTCCTTATGCTAGGCCATCAGGGATAGGTGAAGAGGAGAATCCTAAGATGTAATCGTAACCCTTTCTCACCTCTCATTTCTGACACCCACCGAGGGTGAAAAGGAAATAGTATTTTCTAGTTATCTGAAAATGATGCAAAACAGTTTGTATTCACTCAAAGCTGTAGAAGAAACCATGACTTGGCAAAATAAAGCACTCTGAAAAATTGCCCAGGAGTCATCCATTATATTTAATCTTCTTGCATACAAAAAGTTTTTTTCTCTCCAAAGGCAAAATCCACACAAAAATGTGTTGGGGGGGGGGCTACTTTACCTCTATGCTAACTGAATACTGATAATGCAATATATCACTTTTGCTAATCTTTTTGCAGTGAATGGAACTTTTAAAGTGGAAGCTAAGGTAGATTTGTCACAATAAAATGAAACAATCCATATTTCAAGCTAATACTTTCGTTTTTGCTTTGCAATTACAATATAGACATTTTGTCAAATGTCCTCAGACTCACCAGTTTGACAAATGGTACTTTATTCCCTGAACCTTCTCTAAGACATTTTTACCTTTGCCATTGTTCTAATAGAAAAAATGTGTCACACAAAATAAATAACAAAGCCTCCAATTTCAAACTAGTTTAAACAGATAAGGTTTCATGACAACCTATCAGCCACACTATCATTGATGGTTTTGTTATAGAGTGTTTTGTGGTAAATTTGAAGATCTCATTGTTTAGCTACCTCTTTTTCACTTTTACTCCCTTTTACCCTCCCCATCCACTGCCAAAAACCCAAGGCAATTAAGTAAGAGTATAATCTAATTATCAAGTAGCTATAAAAAGAAATGCCATTTAGTTCACTCTGAATATGTGATGGAATAAGCACGTTTGTTCCACATTAAACAAGCTTTCTCTCTTTTGAAAGTGGGTCAGGTAACAAAAAACCAAAATAAAATGCAGAAATTAAACCAATGGTTTAAGATGAATCAAAATACTATTGTTGCATTCCATACCCATGAAGGCATTGGTGTTCACTGGTAACTGTTTCAAACAAGGGCCTTTTGAGAAGACTAGAAACTCCTCACCAAGTCCTCCTTGCTGAATAATGCTTTGTCACCCTGGAGAAAGAACCTAGGGCTTGAAATTGCCTCTTTGCACACTTCCCTGAAAATCTGAGCAGTTCTGGAATTCCTAATAAACACTATCAATTTAGAGCAATAATTTTCACTATCAGGTAACAGTAATAAATGAAACTAAGAAAAACACGCCAAGCTTGGAAATTTCCACATGAAAATAACAATTCCTAGATTAATGCCCTAGGCTCCCTTTTTGGTAGTGTTCTTGGTTTGTCTGACTCCTGAGCCTCAACGCATCAGATGATCTGACTTTTATTTTGCACTGTCCAGATCTGGATAAAGAGGATATTCGTTTCTTAAGAGTTCTGTCTAATCCTACTGTCTTTCTTTATCTGCTCTGTGACAACTTTAAAATGAGCCCATCACAAAAGCGATTTTGTAATGGAGAACCTGTCTCCTGGTGACATTATCTGGAATGACTTGAGTTAAGCAAACTAATTCATCTGTATCTCTGCACCACAGAAGTCCATTTCCTCCCTCACTATTGATCCATAATTCATTCTTATTCAACCAGCATTCAGACTTTATACCAAAGCATGCATTCTGTTAACAAGCATTGGCTCTTTGGCTTGTTACCAACTTCGTGGAAAGATCCACTTACCTGGCACACACCATCTCCTGGACGTGCCACTCCCAGTAGGTTTTCCATAGGCTTTGCTGTTGTAGAGTATTTCATCTCTGTTGTGGCCTTAATGACTCCATCGCAGTAGACGCAGACATTGACAGAGCCAGCAGGAAAATCTTATAAAATACAAACAAGAGCTGAGTATACAATGCATGTATCCTATTATTGTATCTGTTAGAGAATATGAAGGAATATTTAAGAATTCATAACAATTTTACTGACTTCTAGCACTAAATTTTTTTTATCCTTAGTATCCAAAGAATATAATGTACAATTTTAGACTTAATTAAATAAAACCTTATAAGATCAAAACATGCTAAAATTATGGTAAAAGCCCTAAATCCTTCCTTCCTACTACTAAATTTCTTTTTTGATGGAATCTATAATTATCTTTACATAATACTTTAGAATTTATAATGATACCATCATTCATTTAAAGTTGTGTATCTGTTAATAATCTCAAGAAAATTTGCATTAATTATAGGCAAGTTTCTCAAAATTGTATTTGGAAAGAGAAAGAATAGAATCGATTGAAATCACCAAACTCTTATGCAACTGATTACAATGAAAAACCCTTGGGAAGACAAGGTTTAATATCCTGCTATTTAAGTACCATTTATACTATACATTCATCAAAACCCTTTTTGTGAAAAAGTTGTTCAAAGTGACTGATATGATACCTTGTGAATTCTGCATTAACATACCAACAGAGTTAGAGTTTCCTAAGAATGTTGGGTTCCCTATGAAAGAATAACAATAAACAATCATTTCAGTAAGAAAGTTATTTTGCTTTATTTTAACAAAAGTAAACAAAATTAAGCCTTGAAATCCATTTGCTTTAAAAAAATCTGACTCTCTGTCATGGAGATATTTCCCAAATTCTCCTGGAAAACTGTCACCCAGTCATCTGAGGGTTGGAATATAAGCCATTCGGTACAAGACCAAAAAAGCCTGTTCTAACCTTAGGCACCTGACGAAGCTTTGAATATTTAAAAGTTTCTAAGGTTTAAGCATAATTTTACTTTATCTCCTGAAGAGATTAAATGAACTCTTATAATTTTGCTCAGAGAGATTTAAAGCCAGCAAAAGCAATCTTAAACTTAATTAGATCAAGAAGCTGTAATTTTCTCTTCCCATATTGCTTGACTAGACACCTAACCTGTGTTATAAAGAAAATATATGTATAAAAGTTCTCTCCTCCCAAAGTAAGTCCATCCAGTAGATAATGTAAGAGAAAATGCAACAAAAGTACATTTCATCAGCTGAAGAAGCCTACATATAGTAAAGAGGGTTCTAGAGTTACTGTAGTCAAAAGAAATCAATTTTGGTAGATTTCAGAAAGACAATTTTGAAAGAAGATATTGATTTTGTTTATCAGAAAAAAGATTAGAGTTTGCAATGGGGTGTTCACTTTCTGAAAGAAAGTCAGGTGATGAATCATGAGAGATACATGATGAGGTATGTACTGGTAGCTCTTTGATATAGGATTCTTTAAAATCTAACATGAAAGTAAATGAACTGATTTATTCTTGATAACTTGTACCATTAGATCTATTGATAATGATGTTGATTTTAGAATAATCTTCCCAAGAGATGTCCTTTGAAGTACTGTCTTTGCTGTATACATTTTCTTATCTATTGAATGTCAGTTATTAAATCAAGACCTTGGAGGATTCCTTATGGATTCATCTGGCTGGGAGGCCCTCCTTAAATATGTATTGTTGAATTGGACTTTTCATAAACAGCACTCTGTACCACCTGAGCATTATTTTATTTTGAGTGTGGCCATTATGATATCTACATTTTATAGCTCCTTAATAAAAATAAAAGCCAATTAATTTAAGGACTCAGGAAAGAGAGAAAGCGAATTCTGCTATTTACTATCTGAAGTCGGGAAGTAACATTTAACACTGGAAGTACACACGAATATAGGTCAAGATCACCAGACCAAGCAAGGGTACTGGAGTCAGCTATGGAGAGGAAAAAAGGCTTATAGTGTAAGAAGATGGAACTGCTTGCCCACATCAAACACAGATACACAAGAAAGCAAACTTATACAGGAGCAACAGTAAAAAAGGAATTCTACTCAAATTTCACATCTCAAGGTCCAGGCCATTTAAAATTCTTTGTCAACCTGCACTGTCTCTGGGATTTTAAGTGGTCTGTCCTTCCAGATGAGGGACAAACTGAAACAGTTTACAGAAAACATAAACTAAAGTGTTTTTGAATAGTCAGAACTACCTTCACTAATTCTTTAAAAATACATATTTCACAAATCCAGTAACTTAAGAGCTGTTTGCTTTCTGTATTTCCATTGTCTGTGACGCTGTGTTCCTTTATCAACCAACTTTAGTTCTTTATCACATGGTAAACCTTACATGAACCCACCTAGTGTTTCCATGGGAACTGAAATCAATATGGTTTCCTTTTGATTAGAATATTATTATTAAATAAATATTGGTGGCTTCAAAACCTTTGTCTTGCCTAAAAATTGATACCAATTTAATATATTTTAAAACTGCCCTCTTCAATTATGATATTTAGAAAAATTTCTTATCAATTGTTGTTATTTTTCTACACAGGTTAAGCATAATATTTGGCACATCCTAAAGTATTTTTCATGCTCTTTTAATGAAATATGAAATTATAATTTACACTATCTGGAACAGTTTCTTAATTAACAAAGAGATTCTATATCTTTGTGGATATTTTTACATTCCTTTCAACTTTTAATTGGTTGTCCCCATGTTGTGTAAAGTATTTTTCTGGCTGAGCTACACGTACCAGAGGAATACCCTCTTCCTTCTGAGTAAACATTAGTGATATTTCTAGTTTAAAGATTTCACATGTATTTTTATAACTTTTGGCATAAGCTGAGACTACTGCAAGTTCCTGAGTAACTTCAAATTCCTTCAGCACAAGGCAGTTCCTGTCAGTGACAAACCTGTGGATACCATTAGAAAGGTGTGTTTTTTCTAGAAAATGAAGTAATTATAAGTATATGAATTTATTAAGCTGAGAGGAAAAACAAGACAGAAGTAGAGGATATTTTCTCAAATAAAAAGAATCAGGTTAAGCTATGGAAGTGTCTGAGAAGGGAAAGATACCATTTAGAAAAAGAGCATCTTAAGATTTCTTCACTGGTTGGCATAATTGTACTTGAACATAATTTTGTTTTTTTCTGAATTGTTACCAAATTAGAAACAAACATACATTTAAAAAGAACATTAATACGGCAAAGAGTTGGTTGGGTGGTGAAAAATCTGAGAGGTCTGAACACTGTAAGTAGGTTTCAGAGTATGTGACATGCTGAGAGTATTATCACACACACATACGCACACACTTAAAATGACTAAGAGAAACTAGCCAAAGAAAGGAAGGAATAATAAGGAATAGTAGTTGGTTTTATTTTTGTTTTTATTTTATTTTATTTTATTTTATTTTATTTTATTTTATTTTATTTTATTATTAGTTGGTTTTAAGAGGTACCATTTTCTAAAAGAGAATGTTAGTTGCCTATCCCAAAGTTTATTCTCTACCTTTTAGAAACAGAATCCTGATTTTATTTTATTTATTTATTTATTTTTGCTGGGCACATGGCTATCCAACTAAAAAGACTCGATTTTCTGTTCTTCCTTTCAGCTAGACATGACCTTGGGATTAGGTCCTGATTAATGTGATATCAGCAGATGAGTCTTACAGAAACCTTCTCAATTTAATGAGGCCTTCTTTATCCCAGTGTTGTGTTGATAAGCTAACTCTCCAAAAAGAAAATCAAAAAGTTCTGATTTACAGTTTTTGCCAATTTCTGTGTTGTATATACTTCCACCATGGCTGATTTCAAGTAACCAAAGTCAATGGACTGGATTGTGTTCCCTCCATCCCCCAATTCCTATGTTGAAGCCCTAACACCCCCAAGGTGACTGTATTTAGAGATAAGGCTTTTAATGAGATAATTAAAGTTAAATTGAAGTCATAGGGTAGCGCCCTTATCTAATAAGACTGGTATCCTTATAAGAAGAGAAAGAGACACCCCCAGTTCCATGCACTGAGAAAAGGCCATAGGAAGACAGAGCAAGAAGGTAGCCACCTATAAGCCAAGGAAAGAGGTCTTGCCAGAAACCAATTTTTTTGTCCCTTGATCTTAGGTTTCCAGCCTCCAGAAATGTGAGGAAAATAAATTTCTCTCGTTTAAGCCACCCAGCTTGTGGAATTTTGTTATGGCAGCCAGAGGAGACTAATGCACAAGGTAATATCACTGAATATGAAGTAGAGAAGAGATGCATAGAATTGACTTTTGCAATCCAATATGAGATGGTGCTGGAACACCAGTGCTTCATCAGGTTGCTCGAAAATTGGGAGTGATAGTAAGGGTCTTAGAAGCCATATTACTCCATGATGATTATGGCTATACCCTAGGGATTATGGAATGGTTAGCAGAAATAAGTCTGCTCTGGGACAATATTGTGAAGCTGCCATACCAGCCCTCAATACCAGCCAGATTTAGTACATGAAATTCTGGGCATCACCCAAGAGAATATTTACAGAGAGCAAACCCCATTTTGAGTAACACGGCTGATTAAATCATGAGCCAGATGATCAGAAATCAAATCACATGAGCAATTTTTCTACACCAGAAAGAGACTGGAAGGATGGAGGCCATCATTTAAACTTGATACATCCATAATAGGGAAGGATCCCTGGTATGTTTCCACTTTAGTTTTAGATCCCTCCATCTTAACCTGGTATTGAAAGAAGTACAGAAAAATTTTTTTTAGAGACTTAAATCTGTATAGACTCTTACCAGTGTGGGATACTAACTGAGATCTTTCCTGCCCCTGGAAATCACCAATGAGTTCAGGGATTATATATGAGATAACATGGAATTAGGAGTTCTGTTGAACATGATTCCTCAAGGGTGAAGGGGGATGAACAAATTTGGTGGCTTTTATATCAAGAGAAATAAACAAAGGACTGGGAGAAAAGAGGGTGTAATATGAGGACTACAATACTTAGAAAGATGATCCCCCCAATTTTTAAATGGATTAATATACCTTATCCAGAAGCTGAGGGTGAGGTATTCCAGAAAAGCCACTCCTTATGTTTAAAGGAATTGCTAGAGGGAGAGATTAACACTTTATTCCTCAGCTGGATATTTGTTTAAGTGTTGTCTTGTAACTTATCTCCCTTATCTCCAAATGTCTATAAATATTTGAAATGTAATTAGAGAAGTTATTTTATCAACAAGGAAGTTGAGACACGATTGGGACTTGTTTAAAGTTACCCAGTAAATGGCTCAAAACACAATAAAAACAACGCTTTTGGCCACTAGTTAATTGTTTCTTCAGCTACACTAAAGATTCTGGACAAATCACTAGCCTTTAAAGAGCATGCTGGACACTCTCTTATTCCATAATTGGTGTAGAGAAAAAGGAACTCTATTGTACTGTGCTATTCAGTGCTGTTCAGTGAAACTTTCCAAGAGGAATGGATATGTTCTAAAGAAACACTTGAAATATGGTTAGTGCAACTGAGGGAATTAATTTTAAATTTCATTTAATTATAATAAAGTTTAAGTAACTAGTGGTGGCTAGTGTCAACATATTGGTCAGTGTAGCTACAAAGCATAGTTCTCCACCTATGGTTTGTGACCCACTAACACAACATGGTATCAGTTTAGTTGGTTTTGACTAGCACTGAAGAAAATGAAAAGAAATAGAATTTCTATCTCTCTCTCTATATTACCCATATGTTCTTGCATGGTGTTCACTTTTCCATTACAGTCCTTAACATATTAATCAAAGTTATTTTAAATTCTCTGTATGATAATTCCAACATCTGTGTCACATCTAATTCTGGCCTGATATTTGCTTTATTTCTTTAGACTATGTTTTTTCTTGCTTTTTGGCATGTCTTGTAATTTTTTGTTGAAAACCAGACATGTTGTGTCGGGTATAAGAACTGAAGTAGGTAGGCATGTAGTGAGAGAATTTGTAGTAATCTGGCTGAGAGGTGGGCCATATTTCATATCTGCTATAGCTGTAGGTGCCAGAGGCTTCAAATTCCTCTATTATCCTTGTTTTTGTCTTTCCTTTTGACCTCCTGCTTCCCTAACTACTCCTCTTCAGAAAGATTCTGCATCTTGCAGTATTTCCAACTGTAACCTTCTGCCATTATACTGAGACCCTTTTGTTGTGGTGGTCAGGTTGGGGCGGGGGAAAGCAGTCTAATCTTGTGATTAAATCTTGGTCTTCAAGTGGGCTGGTATCTCTAGGCTGTCACATTCACAAGTGTTTCTCCTGTGACATCGCTTTCCTCGTAACCCTAAGTGAGACAGAAAAGCTAGAGGGGGCTACAATGGGATAGATGCCCTTCCCCAGCTGGGATAAGGCATTCTTAAAGTGGTTTCCCCTGGAGAGTCAACTACTGCTATGGAGATTATACAGGGAGTATTTCACCATAATTGTTCTTCCTCTAACCTCTAGAAGATCTTCCTCAGATCTTCATTATGTGAACCTGGTAGGGTTCCTGGAGGTGAATCCCACAAAATCATGGATGCTCTCAGGAGTTTCTTACTCTTGAGCTAGTCCACACTCTCCCCCCAGCAATTCATCAAAATTACCATTTAGGTGTGCCTACCACTTTATGGCTCCAGTGACTTCTGCTCCAGCCAAGCAGATCTTGGATGTCACTCTCTTGATTACTTTCCTCTCAAGATTTTGGGATGGTGGTTTGCCCTGCAACCTTAGTTCTCTGAGGAGTTCAAGAAAAGTCATTGATTTTCAGTTTGTTTAGCTTTTTCTTGTAGTAGGAATAGGATGGACAGCTTCCAAGTTCTTCACTTATCAAGGTTAAAACTGTTACTCTAATGACTACTTTTGCTTTAATTATATATTTCTGAGTATGTACTGAGTTATGATGTAAAATGTAGTTCTTGCTAGGGTTAAAAAAATGTTAACAAACAGTAGCATGAGGCAGAAAAAAATAAGACTCTGGGGCCATTTCTGCTGAGGCATGTCCCATCCATTTTCCCATACACATTCATGGAACTGTCCTATATATTGTTACATTTGGTAAGAAAATTTCTCACTAATTTCCAGAACATACTAATTGCAAATAAGAGTTGGAGAGGTTAAATAGCATAACTGGTAAATAGTGGTTTATTTGTTTTTTACTACAAATTTGCTGTTCAACCACATAGACAGTATATGGCCTGGCCAATATACTGGCCATACTATATAAGATATGTATATCTTTTTTTTTTTAAATATGTATATCTTGAAAGGTATAGACCATTAGTTTTCTGCTTTTCTGAAAAAAATTTGCATTTTGACATAATTTGTTCTTTGTATTGCTCTTAGATACTAGGTACACTGAACATATAATCTTAATGCAAATAATTTTATTTGACACTTTGATTTGCTATTTGGGAAATATTATCTAAGTACTTATAAATTTGCAATATTGATTTTTCTGTAGCAATTTTAGTCTAACTAGATTTAGTTTAAACTTGAAAACTAATTAGTTAGAAATTAATGTTCATTAAATCATTTTAAAATATGGCATAAATAGGGGGCTTTGGAAGAGAAAGAAAAGAGACAAAGTTCTTTCTCATCTCACTTCTACATATCTTTGTCCAGTACAGGGACCAGTGTCTGAAATGTTTATAAATGTTTGGTGTACAGTCCTTCCTTTTCTATAGTTTAACTCTGAACTAACCTGTGTAAGGAAATCCATAGAGGAGACGCATACTTTTCATAACACAATAGAAATGTTTGTAAGTGTTCTATAAAAGGGCTTCATAATAGCTACATTCCAAGAGAAAAAAAAAAGTTCAGGACGCATTTGACATAGTATTTAATTTTAAATGTTTTTACTACATTTCTAGATTCATAAGATTGTGTACTTTTTATTGTAAAATATTTTATAAATTTCACATTTGTCAAGTTTTATAAGGTAATTTTATTCTTTGATTGTAAAATGATATCATAAATTCAAAAACCAAGTAGTCCTACATTTATATCAAAACATCAGAAATTAACATAGTAGATTTGATTTTAAATAAAATTCTTGTGTCAGGTGTGGCTATTCCATCTAGAATTTTAAACCTGATACAATTTATAATGCTGCAAGCAAAGGTGGATAATAAAATGGTTAACCTCATAAATTAAATAAGGAAAAGAGGGAAGATTGTATATAGAAATGGTACCATGATGATAAATAGTGAAAAAGAATCATGCTTTCCAAAGAATCCAAAAATATATTCACGGGCATGGCAAAAAAAAAAAAAAAAGGAAAGGAGAAAGGTCATGAATGAAAGTCCAAATCTTCATTAATCCTATTACAGTAAAGCAAATAGTTTTAGTTCCACACTGAATCACTGACATATATTAAAATGCTCTCTGCTGATGTACTTAAAACGATGTGATATTGTGGATGGTCATTTCACCACATGGTGCACAAGCTAATTTCTCATAATTTACACTTTCATACTTTTGGGAATCCAGATTACTAACAACCACCTTGGGTATGTGAAAGCTACACAGAGGAAGCACCTGCAGAACAATATTAGTTTCTGAAAGGAAGTGAAACCATTTATCATAAATTTATTGAAAGAAACTCAGGATGATGTTTTATATTTATTAATGCATAAAAAAGTTTCTTACCTAAAGCTTTCATCCGCCAGACTGTCTTATTCCAACAGGTTGGCTGTGTCCTAACACATTTACTATTCGATGTAAATTCAACCTCCACAGTATCACCAATGACTTCATCTCTCAAAATAATAAATATTTCACCAGGATTCTATAAGATAAAAAATATTACCCAATTAGGGCCTTGAAAAAGTATACATTAACCAAAAAACACATTATATTTATTAATGACAAGGTCTGCACATGATAATTATGTCTTCCACCATGTTCATATTTTCAACTATGTTCAGAAATAAAATACATAAATGTGATTCTCACTACATTTCAACTTTATCAACTTTGTGTCTATTTTTTTCTCCAACCCCATCTTTGGCAACTGAAAAAACAGTGAGGACACAGTTGCTCCCTTTTCCTCTTGATTCGTCCCTGTTTGTGAGGCTTCCTATCTCAGAGTAATGAGCAACACTTCACAGACCTCCAGGGAGCTATAATTTGCAACCAAATCCTTTTTCTCCCCAAATCCTTTTCCTTCACCTAGAACTTGGTACATTTATCTATAAATGAGAGGGTTGAATAAGTTTAGCTCTAAGATCTCTTAATATTTTAAATATGAGCTTTAATGTCCAATGTTTTAAATGTCCAATAGTTTTAAATCTTACCTAATAGAGATTCTCTATTTGTGATGAGTATCTGTGAAGGTTATTGAGTTGACTAAAGGTTATAAATCTAAACGTTTTAAGATTTTATTGAGGTCAAAAAGCTAAATCTATGTACATAAGGCAAAAAGGGTGTTTTTTTTTTAAAGATTTTATTTATTCATTTGCAAGAGAGACAGAAAGAGAACAAGCAGGGGGAGAGGCAGAGGCAGAGGAGAAGCAGACTCCCTGCTGAGCAAGGAGCCCAATGAGGGACTCAAACCCAGGACCCTGGGACCATGACCTGAGCCGAAGGCAGAGGCTTAACCATCTGAGCCACCCAGGCGCCCACAAAAAAGGGTTATTGAAAAGACTTTTGGAAAAAAAAAATCCAGAAAAAATAATTAGGCATAAAAAGTTTGACATTAGGGGGGAGGAGCAAGATGGTGGAGGAGTAGGAGACCTGGATTTTGTATGGTCTCATCTCATAGGAATTCAGCTAGATAGGGATCAAACCATTCAGAACACCTACGAACTCAAAAGGAGATCAAAGAAAAGAATAACAACAACTCTCTGAACAGAAAAGCAACCACTTTCTGGAAGGTAGGATGTGTGGAGAAGTGAATCTGAGGCATTTTTGGGAGGATAGATGGCCGGGGAGGGGGCCTCCATCCGTTGCTTCTGCCAAGTGATAGAGCAGCAGAGCACAAAATCGGAACTTTTAGAAGTTGGCTCAGCTGAAGGACGTCACTCCAGTGGCTAAGCGGGAGGGGGAAACCTCGCGGGACAGTGTGGTCTCAGGACCCTCGGGGTCACAGAAAGACCGGGGTGCCTGAGTGCGGCAGAGCTCCCAGGTATTGGAGCGGGGAAGCCGGCTGCAGAGACGGAGCCGAGGCGCGGGCTCTCAGCTCGGGGTGGCCATAAACTGTGATCCGCGGCACAGTCGGGCCACTGCTCCTCCAGCAGGGACCCAACAAGCGGTAGATCCGGGGAGACTCCCCTTCCTCACCTAGGAGGAGTGGTGCGGGAGCACACCGCAGGGATCTGCTGGGTTTGGAGACTACAGACGGGGTCATGAGCCAGAGATAGAAACGCTCGGTCACAGGCTGGGTGAGCACGGGAGTGCAGCCAGAGACCAGGGAGACGGGAGTGATTGACTGCTTTTCCCTGGGGGCGCACTAAGGAGTGGGGCCCCTGAGTTCTCGGCTCTTCCAGGGCGGAGACTGGGAGGCTGCCATTTTCACTCTCGACCTCCAACGCTGTACGGAAAGCTTGCAGGGAACAAACGCTCCCAAGAGCAAACCCGAGCAGATTACTTAGCCCAACCCCTCGGCAAGGATGGGGCAATTCTGCCTCTGGCAAAGACATTTGGGAACCACGGCAACAGGCCCTTTCCCCAGAAGATCAGCAAGAACAGCCAGCCAAGACCAAGTTTACCGATCAATGAGAATGGAAGACTCCAGCACTAGAGGAATACTGCATATAGAATTCATGGCTTTTTCCCATGATTCTTTAGTCTTTCAAAGTTAATTTTTTTTAACTGTCTTTATTTTATTTTTTTGATTTTTTCTTTTTCCCTTTTTCAACCAACAACTTAATCAATCCCTTTTAAAAAAATCTCTTTTATTTTTTATTTTTAGAGTCATATTCTATCCCCTCATAGTAGTTACCCTATATATAATATATATATATACGTTGTTCTCTCCGTAAAATTTTGAGATACAGTTTCTTCTAACAGATCAAAATATACCCTAAATCACTAGTGTATGGCTTTGTTCTAGTCTCCTGCCTAATCACATTCCGCCCCCCACTTTTTTTTTAAATCCTCTTCTTTCTTTTTTCAACCAACTTCTTATCTTATCAATTCCTTTTATAAAATCTTTTATAATGTTCATCTTTACAGTCATATTCCAACCCTTTATCATATTAACCCTTATTTTTGTACATATATAAGTTTTCCTTTCTTTAAAATTTTGAGAGGCACTTTTTTCTAACAGACCAAAATATGCCCAAAATCTAGTGTGTGGCACTGATCTATGCACCAGCCTGATCATATTTGATCATATTCTGTTTTTGTTTGTTTTTATCTTTTTCTTTTTCTTTCTTTCTTTTTTTTTTTTTGTTCTTTTTTCTTTCTTTCCTTTTCTTTTCCACTGGTTTCAGGTCTTTTCTGAATTGTTTAGTGTATATTTTCTGGGGACGTTGTTAACCTGTTAGCATTTTGTTCTCTTATTCATCTTTTCTCCTCTGGACAAAATGACAAGACGGAAAAAAAAAACACCTCAACAAAAAGAACAAGATGCAGTACCGACTGCGAGGGACCTAATCAATATGGACAATAACACAATGTCAGAACTAGAGTTCAGAATGATGATTTTAAAGATACTAGCTGGGCTTGAAAAAAGCATGGAAGTTATTAGAGAAACGTTTCTGGAGAAATTAAAGAACTAAAATCTAAACAAGTCAAAATCAAAAAGGCTATTAATGAGGTGCAATCAAAAATGGAGACTCTAACTGTTAGGATAAATGAGGCAGAAGAGACAATTAGTGATATAGAAGACCAAATGATGGAAAAAAAGGAAGCTGAGAAAAAGAGAGATAAACAACTACTGGATCATGAGGGCAGAATTGAGAGATAACTGATACCATAAGATGAAACAACATTAGAATAATTGAGATCCCAGAAGAAGAAGAAAGAGAGAGAGGGGCAGAAGGTATCTTGGAGCAAATTATAGCAGAGAACTTCTGTAATGTGGGGAAGGAAACAGGCATCAAAATCCAGGAGGTACAGAGAACCCCTCTCAAATCAATAAAATTAGGTCAACACCCGACATCTAATAGTAAAACTTACGAGTCTCAGAGACAAAGAGAAAATCCTGAAAGCAGCTCGGGAAAAGAGATATGTAACCTATAATGGTAGAAACATTAGATTGGCAACAGACCTATACACAGAGACCTGGCAGGCCAGAAAGGACTGGCATGATATATTCAGAGCACTAAATGAGAAAAATATGCA